TGTAGGTTGGTTCCGGAGGTCCGCCTGTTCCCTTCCCCCGCTGCGCTGTTTTGGTCGTTGGCCCGTCGTTTGTGTCCGCTTTTTTCTTCCTCTTGCCTTTCAGGGTTGACCCGGCTCCGGCCGGGTGTGTGTGTGTGTGTAACATCTGAATAGATGTAAAACTTCTCTCTTTTTCTTTCTTCTTTCCTCTCCCTTTCTAATAATAACTATACTAATAATAATGCAGGGGGTCACCGGGGTCCCGGGGGGGTCGGTGACCAATGAAGACACCTCCCCGGGACCCGTGAAAACGTACCTGCGGGACTGTCGTGACGCACCTGGGCGCATATAAGTCGCAGCTGGTGGTCATCATAGTCCCATATATATATATATTATGTAACTAGCCTAATTACATGTTTACAGGACTCAGTTTCTGACGGATCTATTAAAAGATCCATTCTTGTCGAGTGTGTGTGCATTGGCTATTTCATTTGCACCATTTGGCAGCATGTTAGTCTCTTTAGAGAACACTTTTTGAAATCCTGCTTTTCACATCTGAACTTTAAACCTGACAGATGCAGGAAATGTTATATTTATTTACCATGAATCGAGTAGGATTTCACAATTGGGGTGAACCAATCCACCTACGAGTCCTTGGGTGAGCTACCAATTACACATTATATATATATAGTCATATAGTTTACCAAGTTTCAAGAAACTTCATAGCATCACTGGCAAGAAAGTTCCGTTTGACTTTAATAAGTCTGCCACTTTTGTGGGATGAACTAATCCACTCGCAGGGGTGGGCCACCAAGTAGGGGGCAGAATTCAGCCCGAGAAAAAAGGGAAAACAACAAGTTGATGGTTCATAATTATTCATAACCCCCAAAAGTAAGGCCTTAATTATAGAAGTTATAGACATACCATCCCGTCCCCAAAAAAATAAGATCCTCAGAGCGCTGAGGCTGGTTTTGGAGCTGGGCACCTTCGTAGGCTACGGCACCTTGCGCCTAGCGCGGCAGCTCAATGCTACGCGCCTTGGGAAGAAAGGTGGGGAGCCCCTGCAGAAGTACAGGAAACCATAGTCTTTCCAGTGAAATCTAAGGGGTTGCTGGGAAAGTGGACATAGCTGGAGGAAGGGGAATTGTTTGGTTTGGTTTGCTTGGTACCCTTTTGTTATCAACGGTGGCAATGGGAAACGACAATGTTTAATTTGAAGAATATTGGGACACAATGATACTAGTAGACTAGTAGACCAGAGGAAACAGGACCGAAAGATGAATCCATAGAGTACTGAAACCAAAGTTTCAGGGACAATGTCTACTAAGCTGGGATGATAGAGATCTTTCAGACAAAGTGCCAAGCAAACCTCGTCCCAAGCGCCCTTTTACCTGCACCTGCAGGAAAGGGGCTGAACTGATCACGGTGGATCCAGATGTGATGGCCTACACGATCGCTAGCAGTTTGTATGAACAAGCTGGAGTGCGAGAACAAATTTCCATGAAGACAGATTATTCCTACAATGTGTTCCAGGCCGCGGGTTGGCCAAAGTGTCATGGAGTCAGAAAAACCACACTGTAAAGGACAAAGGCTTTGAGGAGCCCATGTCTTCCTCACCAGAGCTAGCGCAGCAGGTTGGAATTGCATCCAGTTAGATGTTGGTTTCTGCCAAGTATTTGGGGTAATTATCTAGATTTAGTGACTCACCCTCATTTGGATTCATTTGGATCATTTGGGAGGTTGAGATCTGGCTACAAATTGGTTTCGCTCACTCGGCTGGTTGCTGTTTTGGTACCCTTTCCCTCCTGTAGGAGTTGAAAGACCAGCAGAAGAAAATCGATTTCCTGTGCCTTGAAAGCGAGCTATTTCTGGTGGCTCAACCGGGGATGGCCAGACCTTTAACAGCACCGAAAAGATCTAAAATTGAAATCCAATCTTACCAACTATGTTCGTTTCTGTCGCTTTGGGTGTTCCTACTGTGTATATAAATATCTATAAATATCTGTGTTTGCTCTTCCTGTGGAAGTTCTTTTCTAATTTTGGCTGCAGAACATTGCTTGTTGCGGAATGGGCTAGAGCCTTCGCCATAGCGCTAAAAAAAGTCGTGTGGTAAGTTGTCAGTGTATCTTCGGCATCATCTCCAGGGGTTCTGCCTTTGAGTTGCCGTTGTGTCTTTTCTTGAGGTTCATCGATCACGTGAAGCAGCTGTATTTGTCGGATTCTTGCCTGACAATCATTGGGGAAGCTAAGGAGCTAGGGGGCCAGGGATAGGATGAAGCACGAAGACCCCAGTTGGCATAGCAACTGGTCAAGAAAAGAACCTGTTTATCTCATGTACGTATATGTATGTCCCATGTATAACTTGTTAGTAGCGGCGCTTGCAGTTCGTTCACTGGGTAATCATCCAAATAGAGTTCATCGGGTTTTTTCATGTTTTGGTCGAGACGCAGTCAGGGAAAAGGCTAAAAGGCATTCGGAGGCCAGATCCCCAGCCAGAGGCTTCCAAGGGCCCGCGAACTGAGGATTTGAAACTGGCCCTGGAGATGGACCTTTTGGCTCCCGGCTGTGTGGTGGTAGCCGACAACATCCTGGCTCCGGGTGCTCCTGAGTCTTGGCCATGGCTTCCCGGGTCTACCCGTTGTGGGTCACGAAGCCAATCACCGGGTGCGGCAACATCTGATTTGCCTTGCCATTTTTCATAGAAAGTCATGCTGAATCCCAGCTTTGGCCATTTGGGGTTCAACATTGCACCACAGTTATACTATAGTTATACTGATACATACTGATACTATGTTATACTATGTTACCCTATGTTACATTATGTTTTACTATGTCATGTCAGATTCCCTTGGTGACTGTTACGTGCCCATTCCATTGGTTCCCAGGACTACAAGGAGTACATGCTAACGGGCGAAGGCAGCCAGATTTTTCAGACCGAAGTGCATCGCCTTCATGTGGAGTCCCTGGGCTGGGAAGTGACAGGACACAGATGGGCCATTCTTTGAATCGCAAAAATGAGATGGACAAATGTATGGGATGTAATGGGATTTAATGGGACTTAATATTAATGGGACTTAAAGGGACTTAATGGAACTTAATATTAATGGGATTTAATGGGACTTAATATTAATGGGACTTAAAGGGACTTAATGGAATTTAATATTAATGGGATTTAATGGGACGTAATGGGATTTAACCGGACTTAATATTAACGGGATGTAATGGGACTTAATATTAATGGGATTTAATGGGATGTAATGAGATTTAATGGGACTTAATATTAATGGGACGTAATGGGATTTAATGGGACTTAATATTACTGGGATTTAATGGGACTTAATATTACTGGGATTTAATGGGACTTAATGGGACTTAATGGGACTTAATATTGATGGGATTTCACATGATGAAACAAACAACTATGGGAATCAATGGGGGTTGAGAATGCATGGCTTCATGGATTTCATGGGAATGATGGTGACTGGATTAGGCTAACTATCTGCAAATGGCCGAACTGAAAAAATGTTTGTATAAATGATTCATCTAGAAGACACGAAATAGCACTCCCTTGATATGTTGTACACACAATTTTCGCCATGGGAGTTTGAGGTTTCCCCAGCATTTTCAGGCAGAGCCATATGTTTGGGCAAATGATGATCATCCCCAAATCAAACAGAAGCCAACTTTGGGAAGTTTCCCTGTTAACGTCTACTAACCATCAACCATCATTCCCCAACGATTTTCAGTCAATCCCACCAGGAGTGAACACATGTGAACACTAGGAGAGCTTGTCACCATTGGGCTCTGGCGCTTTCAAAACGAACCCACAAGTAAAAAAGCACATATACACGCACATGTAAATATATATATATAGCAGCCCGAGAATAGATAAAAACGAGAGAAGTTGACAGCCCTGCAACATGTGTGAGCAACTAGTAGCTAACAACATCTTTTCAGAACATCCTGATTTTCCATATGCTTCTATGATGTGCATCATGTTCCCATCTACAGTAGGGGCGTCCCTTGCCAGTGCAGGTACTGGCGCAGTTTCCCAGACGAAGTGACGGTCAGCAAATACCGAGCTGACTAAGTGGGGAGTTTTCAGCCGACATGAACTGGATAATTACTACATGTTACTAATATTCTTTGGTCATTTCACATACCTATGGAAAATTGATGAAAATTGCCCATTGACAGATGATAAATGTGATGATTTACCAATGATTTACCTTTTAAAAGTTGTGATTTTCCAGTTCGCGACGTTCCATAACTAGAGAGTACCGTTTACGTCATCTTAATTCAGATTTTTTTCTATCAAAGCAAGACATTAGTAAGATTGGCTAGCTCCCTGGCTTAGATACATCTTCTTCGGCCTGTACCCCCCATAGGCCAGTCAAGGTCACCCCATTTCGAGCACAGAACGGAGCGGTGTAGTGGCACAGAATAGCACCGTTTCGCGCTACAAAAAGAGTTGCCCGATGCTGCGAGAAAGTCATGTAGATTGCCACTGGGAGCAGTAGAGCCTCCACAAAAGTGCCCTTTTGTGAGGTTTTTTATGCTTTAATTTCATGGATGCCAGCCATCAATGGGTCCTTATATGTTTTCCAAATATTCTTGTCCAGGTTAGTGGGTAGCAGGAGAACGAGTTTGATTTCTCAAGCATGGGCCCACCACGTCTATATAGCCCTATAGCCACCCAATATACTTTTAGAGAATGGAGCCTGAAACGACTTGATGACCGGAAACTAGTTATCTATCTATGTCCATGTTATATATTTATATATATACAGATTGGTGATATGAACTGTCTTTGTGTTTCATCAATTGGCACTTGGAGATCGATGAGAACTAATTATACCATACTTTTTTGCCAGCTGGTTTGACATAACCGCCCGGTTTCATCCATGGCCACTTCACAAAAATGGTTCACCAGTTTAATCATGTTTTCAGAGGTCTTAAAGCTACCAAGCAGTCACTTTTCACCCTTGTCCTTCTCCAAGCTGTTGGGGAAACCTCCACAGGAGGCGTTGAAAGTTAATCTCATCGCGCCCATGGCCCTGATGCAGGCGCGGGACATACTGGGAATATGGTCATTCGGTGTCATAGGTGGTAGCGATGGTAGGGCCGGTAGGGTCTTCATCTACAATACCGGCCACCTGCTCACCTTCAGCTTCTTTTGAAATCTTTGAGATGGTGATTGCGAGAGGAAGGAGAGAGAGAGAGAGAGAGGGATTTGTATATTTATATATATACATATCTGCGTGTGTATGTGTATATATATATATGCACATACATATCATGCATTACATATGGTCAGATATGGTCATATATGGTACTATACATAAATCTACAGATGATTCACGTCCTATCTTTGGATTCGTGCAACTTTACAGATATGACACGTCCATGTGCCCAAGGGGCTGCTGCCTCAGCTACGTCGTGCCGGCGGCCGTGTGCTGCACTTGGGGACCTCCGTGGCACATCATCCGCAGAAAGGGACGGCCACGTGACACGGCGAGGAGACAATGGAAGTTACGGACTTTGGAAGTTGAAGTGTTTATTGATTTATGGTCAACAATTGTTAACTAATGGTTAATAACAGTTCATAATGTTTATTGAATTTATTATTGGTGAATAATGGTTAATAATGGTTAAACCCAATAGTGAGTACATAAACAACAATCATAGATGAAGAATGGATAACTGAAATAATCCGGTAAACCTAAGGCCATAAACCATCCCCAAGTCATCACCATGTTTATAGGTTGTATAAATCATCACCACCTCTATTATTGGGTTGCCCGCACTATTGTGATGGATGCTATGGTCACTTCAAGTGCCCACGCCAGCCAAGCAACCCCTCCATTTTGATGAGTTGCTCTTGGCCCCCACCATCATGATATCATGGGCTAAACATCATATATACGTACATATACATACGTATATATGCAAATGTTTAGGTATATTTGGACGAATACGTCTTTGTGTATATGTGCATAGATACATATACATATACATACATAATATATATATAGATATCTATTATGCACTACAATATATTTTATATATATTTATATGCATAGTTGTGCCATTCTTGAACATTTATAGGTTCTTGTTCCTGAGGTATGGCATCACCAAAGCCGCCTTCCACCGCCTCTACCAGCAGCTCAACGCTGAAGAGCTGGGGGTGCCAGTGGCAACACTCAGCCCAGGTGTGGGGGGACCATGCGAAAATGGGATTTCAAGTTATTATTGGGATTTAACCAACAAGAATAGAGATTTGACAAATTTGAATAAGAGTTATTTGGATTCTAATGGGATTTCATTGGGATGTCGCTGATTTTCTCCGGAATTGATGTGTTTCTTGGTGGTTTTGGGGGATTGTATATATTTTTGTTGGTGGATTTACGAGGATTAGTTGGTTTCTACCTTCTTGAAAACTAATATGGAACCCCCAAAAATGTACAGTATTTGGAACATGTTTGTTCCTAGTGGAATCAATTGAATATAATTGAATCTTTGGGTTTGTCGTTGTTTTTAAGAGGCATAAACAAAATCAAAGCTGGCTGGGCCAGTGCATGATGGATCACCAAAAAGAAAGGAACCATGGATTTGCGCATATAGATATTGATGATCATCCCACTTGAAAAAAAGGCGCCAAACAGATCAATACGTCGTTGTTCCCTGGTAGCTCCCAAAAATTCAGTGATCAAATAATTCTCCCAAGGGATCATCCCAAGACACCACCAGGCCTGGTGGACAGAGGGCGTGCGTGACCACGTCACCAAAGCACGTCGCTTGGATCTGCCACATGTGAACTTCTTCGATGCGGCGTTTGAGAAGGCGGTGCTATGCTGGATGCGATGGTGGATGGAAAGGCTGAGTAAATCTTGAGTACCAGCACTACAAAACATGTTGGTGACAGAAAATTTTGGTTCGAAGGCACATTCAGAAACAAACATTCGGATTTGACATAAATTTAACGAAGAAACTGCGGTGCAAGGTAGGTTCATAGGTGGCGACTTCTTGTTTGCCTGGAGGGAAAAAAATATCCAGCAGAAATAATATTTCTCCCAGCACAGCCACGATCTCATTGTTGCCATTGGGCTGCACGGTTGTACCACCAGAAGACAGCCATATTTCCTTCAGTCGTCATCAACCAACAGTGACCTCTGCAGGATCTGGCAGACATCGGGTTTTGGCAGTAGTTAGAATTACCACTTTGAACTACGAGTATATAGAGGGTGGGATGATGTAAGTCAGACATGCTGTTTGCTATTTATTCAAGAAAGAGACAACATCCAAATTGCCATTAAAACAAGAGGAAGCAAATCAAGCAGGGTGGGGTGCCCCCCAGATTTTGGGAGAAGCCCCTTTATATACTCCCCAAAACAAATCCATCAACCACCATTCACTAACGGAGTCTTCCCCCTTGTCGCAGGTCATTTGTTCTTAAACTACGCCACTTCTCCAGATCCCCACCAAAAAGTGGGATGGTTGCTCCGATAAACCACCAAAAAGATGATTGAAACTCATTGAAACCCTACATAAATGTATTTAAATATGTAGCACCTCTCAGGTGCAGGATTTCGCACTTATCCACCACTCAGATTCATAGATCAGCCGACCAAACGCCGCAATGCAGCGGCTGATGACAACGGCACCGGCGGGCTATCAATCCTTCACCGTGCCGGACCCCCCCAAAGAGCTGAGCTCTGAGGGGTGCCTCGGCTGCAGATGGGGTTAATTAAGGTGATATATCCACTAAGTACTGGAATTGATCATCCAAAGATATCCAAAAATATCCGGTGGCAAGTCAAGAGAGAGCCTTTGGAGCATTTTGGAGCTACCAACGTTTCGAAAAAAACATGGGGAGCCAATTAAGGAGCTACAAATTGAGTTTACCAATTGGCATTTGCATTTTACACATGGGGTTTGGGGAAGGAGTCATGGAGTATTTTCTGAGAGTCCAAACTTGGTGGCTCCATGTCGGTGTCAGCTGCTGAAAGCCACTAGCTATGTCATGCCGCACTTGCTCCATGCCAATCCAAGCAGTTGTTGGAGCGTCATATTTTGCAATCCTGAAGGGATCAAAACCAACAACACTATATAATATACATGTCGAGATAGCTAGAGAGAGTGACATATCTTGACAGATATGAACTTGATATCTCTTGATATGAACTTTCGATTTTCCATCAATTGTTTGGTGGATGCTAGAGGTTTTTGGAACCAGACGTATCTATGGAGGGAGCTGTTTTGAGTTTTGTGTCGTCGAGTCCTAAATCCGAGGAGTTTTACCACAGAGATGCGGAACCTTTTGTGTAACTAGGTATTAGCATGAGCCCCAAAACCCCCGCTCATTCTGTAGGTTGCATTTTGGGCGAACTTCGCTGAGTTTGTTGGTGCGCATAAGAGTAGTCCGTGGCATTTCAGGTATGAGGAAGGCCTGAAGGATAGCGTGCAGCAACGTATCAACAAGATGACACTCTGGGCATTAGCTTGCAGCAGTGCAGGGGATGGTGAGGTGGAGGTGATTTCTGGTAAAGTTGGAGAAGTTGAGGGGGCTCTTTAAGATGGCTAAGGAAATTTGACCTGGCTTTTTTAAAGAGTTTCGAATCCCTTCAGAACCTCAGAAGATGGGTCCCACTTCAACAAACATCAAGTTGGCCGCGTGTGCAAGATTGTGGAAGTAGGATGGCAAAGGGACACTGGAAGCGGGACACTACATCATGTTTTGACCTCCTTTACCATCTTGAACTACGACTAGGATGTATCATTATGTATCACCTGTCCCCTGACCCCATGTGGTGTTGAGGGGTTTTCTCATAGAATTGCAGACAGAGCCACAGCTCAGTTCCCAAGGAAGGGCAGGTCGATGATGCGCCGCAGCTGCATTTTGACATGGAGATGTTACTTTATGGGGGACGAATGATGATATGATGAATGGAAAATTGTCTAATAAGTGGTTTATAAGCCATGTACAGCTAGGTCTTATCCAAGTTACACCCGGATTGCAACATGATTTGCCATGATAATAATGTGGTTTAACTCATGATTTACGTCATAAGCTTTACGTGGGATGCTGCCATCCAAGCATTGTCCCAGCTTTGAGGTCATGGTCTGCAGATCTCAACCCTGACAGCAATCCAACCATTGGTTGGCAAAATCAATTTTCTTTTATATGTTTGTCCTTTTTTCCCATAGAAAATAGATATCCTGAAAAATAATGAAAAATACTCGTGATGACCCCGATCAAAATTCCGGCTTCGGCTCGAAAAGATCAGGTGCCGAGCCTATGACAACTGGGCCCGCAAGAGCCACTTGATGGCCAAAGCCTCTGCAGCCGGGAGGACCTATTGTTCATGAGTTGTTTTGGCTGAAAATGTGGCAATGTAGTTAAAATCGGTTAACACAATAATGAGCCACCCCATTTTTGTTGGTCTATACCACCCATTTATGGTAAATTTGGGGATGGCTTACTATTGTTTTACAAACAATATGTATATACAAAACTCGCCATTTAACCAAAAAAAGATGATCGCGCAACCGTCAAATTTGGAGTATCCTGTCTTCAGACAAGCCCAGTTTATTCTTGAGCCAAAAGAAATATCCAGCGGTTTGCAGTGAGTTTTAAGGGGCCTGCTGGTATCCATATTCCTTATTACATGGGGAGCCAAGGATCCACCATGAGTTTTCCAACCTGATAGAAACATTCTGAAAACTGGTGAATGAAGTCCATGTTCCACTCGAATGATCAATTGTGAATCTCATCGCGTGTCACCTGAATGTTTGTGCAAGACGATGATCTTGGCAGTTAAAGATGTTAAAGGTCAAGATGTATTAAGAAAGTAAATATTCTTGACCGTATGACGGATTCTATGGGGGTGTATACTGGGTTTATCTTCTTAGGATAAGCAAGAATTAAAGATAGAACATATCATGAGTCTATTTTTTCTTATGAAAACGGCCAGACCGTGGCAGTGCTACGTGCCAAGGCCAAAACATCCAGAATTTGGCCACCTTGGAACGTCTCATCCAGCGAGTGGACTGGTACTGCAACGAGACCAAGAGCGTGCAGGGCAGGGTCTTACCAGCCGCGATGATCATGAGGACGGAAACATATGGGTGTGAAGGCAGGAGATACCCCAAAGATGGTTGGTTCATCGGGAAAATGATAGAAGATTGTGATAACTGTAGGAGAGACGTGGGATTTGGGGACGGGGGAAATGGGTTACTGAGCTGAAATGATTGCAATTTGCTTTTCTATTTTCTGGGAGGTTACTAGATGGCCGTTCAATGATAATTGAAATGTAGCAAAAATGGGGTTGCCCGAGTTACCAACGATCTACCTGTCGCCCATATTTGCCCATTGAAGTTTGTCAGTCACTGGTTCTCCACCCTCAATTCCCCGCTGGATCAATTTTCCACCAGGAATGGCAGGTATGTTGATTTTGCATGATTTTGCTCCCAGCCTCCCAGTGAATTCAGCCCCAAAACGCCACCAGGGGCACCTAGCAGGATCAGCATGGTGGATGCCATCCGCACTGAATTTCGCTTCGCTCCACCCTTCGTGGCCGAGCTGCTGCGGCACTTTGATGGCGATTTCCTGACGCTTGACGTGGAAAGTGGAGGAGGGCCTAGATTACAATGAACCAAAATCAGTTGTTAAATCGTTCAACTGTCAGGGGAGAATAGTTTTGATGATTTTGATAATTTTAGGTAATGGGTTCATACACCAACTTAGATTAGAACCTATCCATGAAATGATGGTATTCAACCAACAAATATGGGGATTTAGTCATGAAATGATAGGGGAATGATGGGTACATGGTTAATGAAGATATTGTTGGTGGCTTGAAATGTCTGGCATTTTCCACCTTACCGAATGATGGTCTGCAATGACCAATATTTTCAGGGAAGCTGAAACCACCAAGTAATAATGGCAGTAACACTGCGGGGATGCTGTAAATGTTCGCTGCATCGAATAGATGATACTGCAGCCCCTGGTCTGTTGACATGTCCCGACCTCCCAGTTCTTCACACCATGGCTGGCGGCGAACCAGCTGCATCTGAGGAAAAATATGGAGTGCATTAAATTGGTGGGGGCTCAGAATCAACAAGTTTCCCGGCGACGGTGAAAGAGCCAATTTGTGGTTGATTTGGAATGGGGCCATGTGCCATGGTTGGACCAGATGGCATTCTATATGGCCTTCATTTGTTTTCGGCATGTTTATTATACACTTTTCGGATCTTTTCGGCAGCTTTGACGCTGAAAGGGTTGCAAGGTCATTGTTGCATCCATCATGTTGCATCATGTGTGTTACGATTCCTCCCCAGACTGGCAGTGCTTTACTCCATGCCTAAGAGAGAGAGAGAGATGCTAGGCATGAAGCAATTTGCTGATATTTGCAGGCCTGCCACCGTCCAAAATTCCTAGTCTCATGATGGCCCTGAAGCCAAATACGAATAATTACGTATTCTTGTGATGTTTAATCCACAGAAGCCGATCCTTGTCCTTTTTTTTGCAATTCAAACCCTCCAAAAAATCATAGGAACTTCGTGATCAGGCTCCCATCGGACCTGCAGATCCCAGGACGAACTTCGAAGGCGCGAGCTGCTGCAGGGTATCCATATCCCCGTAATATCACCTATTTTTCATGGGGAGCCAGTTGGACAATCAGACTTTCCCACCCACATGATAGCTGCTGATAGCTAATATCCATTAATATCCCAACTTTGGTGAAAGAATGTCAAGGGTCTTGTTGTTGGAACTCTGTGGCAAAACTGAGGACCTCAACTAGCTATGATGAAGTTGTGAAATGACGTGATCTATCAAGGATTCATGTTCAATGGCGTGGTTCTGATTTTGTGCTCACGCGCAACAGGAAGGGAGTTACATATTTGCTTTGAGGGACGCAGTTCCTTTTGTAGTTCGTGTATATATATATATATATGTTTTCATTGGTAAGCCATCCATAACATAACCATCCGATGTAATGACGGGCCCATGGAAACCCGTTCGTCCAACCTCTGGGAATTCAACTAACAAGCTATGGAAAAAAAAACATGTTTACAAATGGGTATATTATCCTCCATCCTGAGCCATTTTCCATAGCTATGTAACAAATTACCGGAAGGTCTTGCTGACGTATATTGACGTCAGCCCACTGACGCCACTGATGGCAGCAGTGAGGTGCTAAGATGGAGTACCTGCACTGGAAATTGCGACGGGCAACTCGCAGATTAAAAGAGAGACAGGGAGGGATTCATTGGCTGCTTCTGTCCGCAAAGATATGCAAAGATGGACGTCGGCGCGGACCAACGGAGGGGGTTGCCCGCAAAGTTACTCCAAACTCAAAATCTAAGAGCGAGTCTCAATCAGCGCATCTCAACTTCATAATTCGAATTGGTTCCCGCCCTTTCCAAATTTCTCGGATGGGCCATTTCCATTTTTTTTCCAATGTCAAGCGATGGTGCTGGAAAGGCTTTGGGAAATGAACTGGATGGATTGTCAACATGTTCTGCTTGAATTTTCCAGGCATGTTGATTTCCAGCACGCAGAGCAAGATGGAACAAGATGGACCAAAAGTGCTAAGGGGGTAGGTTTCTGATGGTTTTATGTGTCTTGATGTTGCTTCACGACAGCCGCATAATAATTGATGATGCCATCGACATCAAATTGACCTATCCCTTTGAGCCCCGCGACTCTGATGCCTGAGGTAGCGCATCAGATCGTCAATGTTCTGGCTGGGAAGCCTAGCATACCAAGATGGCCCATGGCCTGCACATGTCTCACATTTTGTCCCTGAAGATGGTATGATGATGGATGATGATGAGGAGGAGGATGATGAGGATGAGGATGAGGATGAGGATGAGGATGAGGATGATGATCTTACTCTTACGTGTGGGTGAGTTTGAGGATGGGCAAAGCAACAGCAGCATAGATGAATCATGGAGTGAGTTCAGATATCTACCCAACCTGCGTTGCTGGTTGAAGCCCCATTTGTTCCAGATCATTTCCTAAAGATTTAGCTCACGTATCACCAGTTAACCAATTAATGGATATTAATGGCCCGTAAGCAAGCCCATGTTGTCCTGGTCAAAATGGGGGGTGTAACATGATGTAACCACGATATCAAACAAGCGCTTTGTTTTGCACCAATGAGGAGGAAGAATTCACCTACGCTCGGTGTTTCTTCGGAGATGACGTGCAGGAGACGGGGCTTTGCAGAGGGTTGCGTGATGGCCAGGGTTAAGCTTGGAATGGCATCGCACCGGTGCTCCAATGGGATTAGGTGGGGGGATGCGATCCTATTGTTATATGAGAGAGTACTGTAGCGGATTGTGGCAAACTATATGTCACAATGGGATAAATAACTGGCCATGGCTCTTTTGGGTGAAGCCAATCAGCCAGGGATGGTGATCACATCTTCAATGGGGAGCCAAGGACCGTAATTACACTGTACACCCTATCGCTGGTTCGATGGTTCAATAGTTCAATATTTGCAGTTCGATCATAAGCATTTCTTGTTTGGATGGCCCAGAGTGTTCAGGTCAACTGGGGGTGTCACCCTTGCAACTGTTCCACATTGGGTGCTCGCAGAATGTACTTCGATATGTTTTAGAGACGACTATGACAATGAGAAGTGTTTTTCTTGGTCAACGCAGGCACATGTTGGAACCATTATGCGCAAGCCATATAGCCAACCACAGAGAAGAATGATCGGCCAACTAACAGAGCTGATCTATTGAGATGACCTCACCATACGAAATGGAATGAAATGGCCAATAAATATTGAGAAACATGGTGAAACCATCAGCCATGGCCATAGATGGATTGACGATTCTTGAAAACCTGCAGTGAACCATGGAATCTACCAATCTGCCATGACTTCAGGATTTGTTTCTCTAAATCCATCGAAATTGTCCGGGCAATTCCGGGGCCCGCAAGCAACGTCCGCTGCCAGAAGAAATTTCAAGAACTCTTTCCCCATGGTGTGATGCCTCCAGCAATACCTGGAACTGGAACAACGCTGTCGGAGATTCTGGGCATCTCCAAGATGGGAATCAGTTGCTTGGTGTGAAAAAAATGGTGACGCTGGGGTAAGGAACCAGAAATGTTTGAGGGTTCGGCTATTTGCTTGGCTTGACTAGAACGGCTAGAACATTGGAGGGTGTGTTTTTGTGTGGGGTCGAACTGTTTCGAACATTTTTGAACGGTGCCCTGGTAGCAAGGTTGACAAGGAATGACATCACAACTTTGATGGGACGGGGACCTGTGAGTGGTAAAAGTGTCTTAGACACAGATCGACCCTCAATGTTGAGCAAAATGATTCAAAATAAAAAGTGTCATCCATGTTATTTGAGTCTAGATACCTCAGTTGCCTTATAAGTGGTTTGAATTGGTTTAACTATGGTTTATGCTAGATATAACTATAGATACTATAGTGAATGCGGGTTATAATGGTATATAAACCAACTTATAACTGGGGGGGCCCATCCTGTAGTATATCTTTGGTATTCTTTGGTACTGTTTGCCATGTATGCAAAGAGCGTGTGGACTGAAGCTGGGCGCGTCGACAAATTAATCCGCATGGTTTGATCTTTGATCCCAAACTGTTCCCGGTGACCAACAAACAATAATAAACAAGATAGATGGATACAGGATTTATTATCTGAATTCAGGTTTGATCATCAAGTACTTTGCCGGGCTAGTTTCATGATGGTTCATCTATCATCAAGTACAATGTGTTACCTAAATGTACAATAAAATAAATGAATATAATACATATATTTAATATATCATATATTTGTGTGTGAATATACAGTCACATGCATACATGTTCAACAGATTTGAATGATCATATAAAACCATATGTTGAATCTCCAAGCTTGATACACTTCCCCAGGTTGGTCTCCTGAAGATTCGCAAATGGGTTCCTGCTTGAGCTGCAGCATCTCGGACAGTTGACATGGTGAAAGCAAGCGTTAAAACCGGTGAAGTCCTGATTTAAGCAAGGAGAAATTGGTGCTTCTCTCTCTCTCTCTCTCTCGATATATATATATACACATATATTTTGTTGTAAACAGGTTTCTGTGGGTTTATAACTTCAAGAACTTGTCGGATTTATGGCGGAAAATATCGTAAGTTGAATGGGCGACGGTGAAGCAACTTGCACCTCCAGGGCCGCAAAGGCGAACAGACCCGTGCTTCCTGGGTGTAGACATCAAAATCAGTGAAGGAAAGACGATTCAGGGGTAATGATGGGCAATGTACATTTTGGATACTTTGATTGAGGTAATGTACCATTTGGATTGAGTGAGCGAGGATTTCCACCGAGCTGGTTTTTGAAATGGCATGGCGGTGTGGTGAAGCCAAAACCAAACCTCCGATTGGGGATGATTTTATACAATTTACCCTCTGGTAGTTTAACATAGCTATTGAAAATGACCATTTATAGTGGGTTTTCCCATTAAAAATGGTGATTTTCCATAGTTATGTTAGTTTACCAGAGGGTATATCTGCCATGTCTTCTAAAACTGGGCAGTGTTAATGATTGTGGGGTCACGACGTCACGACATGTCACGACCTTCCTGGAGCACATCCGTTGAATCCCCCCATGGTCCCTCGGGATTTACCATCGGATTATCCCAATTTTCACTCAACCACCAGCTGGTCCCGTCCTCATCCCACTGATCAACCAATTGCGAAAAGTAACTCATCATAAATCGCATTTTTTTTGGGAGATGACCCCAATTATTCATAATCAGAATGATTCAATGATATTCGATGTTACTCAGTCTACCTTAGAGTTGCACTCTCCGGCCCTTCGTTCTAGGCCCAGAGGGGTACATTCCACTGAAGGGCGAAGAGGAACAGCCACCAGAGCTGCCTTTTCGGAGCACCTGGGGCGTGCTTAGCAATTTCTGGATTCCGTGGATCCAGATTTGTTCAAAGAGTCACAAGTCATTCTGAGGATGCTCAATTTTTCTACAAAAAATATGGGGTATAGATGGGTATAGTCCCCAGGTCAGTCTCACCATTGGAGATGGCGATGGAGACAGAGAGAGATGGGTATAGTGAGAATGGCGTAAGATCTCACACCCAAACAACCCCAAAGTCACCCACAACAAAACAATCTGGTCGCCCGGATTTCCTCCGCGAGGTATTTGGGAAGTTCCCCGGTTGATCGAGCTGTGCACCTCGGCACTGTGTTTTTTTTGTTGCGAAAGTGGTAAATCCAATATGACACCAGCCTCAATTTTGACCAGACTTTCATGGAAACTAATCTTTAAGATCTTTTAAGCCTCAATTTGGCAGGGTGTATGTTTGAATTTGCGGGAGGGTAACAGGCTAGTAGAAATAATTTTGGATGTTTTTCAGTGGGCTTACCACATTATGATACATTATCAGGGTCGTTTTCCTATTCTGTTCGTTTTTAGCACAAGCATGAAGTAGGACTAGCATCACAGCAGTCACTCCAGGCCCAAAATCAGTTACCTCTGGGAATCAAAACTTGCTACCTGGGAAATCCTCATCAAAAATGGAAGTTTGAATGGGAAAACATGAGAAAACCATTAGGAAAACCATGAGAGCATCAAATCCATAAACGGGAGATTTTCCGGCAAGCAATGTTTCATTACCGGAGGGTACTCAGGATTTCTGATGTTTGCCGATCCTTTGGCGGATCATCCCACTTTGTCACCGTTTAATATCCCAAATTGGATTATCCAAGTTTTTGTCCCATTTATGTAGGGTTATCCATGGTTATCCGATATTGATATATGTATGTATGTATGTATGTATGTATGTATGTATGTATGTATGTATGTATGTATGTAATGTATGTAATGTATGTAATGTATGTAATGTATGTAATGTATGTAATGTATGTAATGTATGTAATGTATGTAATGTATTGAATGTATGTAATCATGTAATGTATGTAATGTATGTAATGTATGTAATGTATGTAATGTATGTAATGTATGTAATGTATGTAATGTATGTAATGTATGTAATGTATGTAATGTATGTAATGAATGTAATGTATGTAGTGTATGTAATGTATGTAATGTATGTAATGTATGTAGTGTATGTAATGTATGTAATGTATGTAATGTATGGAATGTATGGAATGTATGTAATGTATGTAATGTATGTAATGTATGTAATGTATGTAATGTATGTAATGTATGTAATGTATGTAATGTATGTAATGTATGTAATGGATGTAATGGATGTAATGGATGTAATGGATGTAATGGATGTAATGTATGTAATGGATGTAATGTATGTAATGTATGTAATGTATGTAATGTATGTAATGTATGTAATGTATGTAATGTATGTAATGTATGTAATGTATGTAATGTATGTAATGTATGTAATGGATGTAATGGATGTAATGGATGTAATGGATGTAATGGATGTAATGGATGTAATGGATGTAATGGATGTAATGGATGTAATGGATGTAATGGATGTAATGGATGTAATGGATGTAATGGATGTAATGGATGTAGTGGATGTAGTGGATGTAGTGGATGTAGTGGATGTAGTGGATGTAGTGGATGTAGTGGATGTAGTGGATGTAGTGGATGTAGTGGATGTAGTGGATGTAGTGGATGTAGTGGATGTAGTGGATGTAGTGGATGTAGTGGATGTAGTGGATGTAATGGATGTAATGGATGTAATGGATGTAATGGATGTAATGGATGTAATGGATGTAATGTATGTAATGTATGTAATGTATGTAATGTATGTAATGTATGTAATGTATGTAATGTATGTAATGTATGTAATGTATGTAATGTAATGTATGTAATGTATGTATGTATGTAATGTAATGCATGCATGTATGTATGTATGTATGTATTTCATGTTATCCCACTATTATCCTCCTCATCATCATCTATCATACATTATCCTCCCAGTCCCCCACACTGTTTGGGGTCTTTTGCCGGGACAATATGGGATAATCCTATATTGATATCATTTATATTCATTGATATTATGTTATCCCACTATATCCCTTGGGAGTCTTGTTCTTTTTATACCATACTTCCTTCAAATCACACCTCCTCGCCGTGGGGTTTGACCAAACGCAACGCGTGGTCTCAGGTGATCGGCTGGACATCATCGCCTTGCGGAACAAGCTGGGCACCTCCACGCCTGGTGGCACAACGGCCGGGAGCCAGGTGAAAGTTGGCCCCAAAAAGGATAGAACTCTACTGATTATGATATTGATACTGATAATAATAATCATTATTGTTGATGATGGTTATTATTATTGATGATGATGATGATATTGATGATGATGATGATGATATTGATGATGATGATGATAATAATAATCATTATTGTTCATGATTGTTATTATTATTGATGATGATGATGAAGATGAAGAAGAAGAACAGCTGTGTAATTCTTCACTATTTCGTTGCAATTCGAGGATTGGATTTCATTGTTCTATTTTTGGGTGGCGGATTGCTATACGTTACTATACTGCTTAATAATCAGATGAGTGTCCTATAAACTAAGCTGGTATTTTGTGAAATACCCAGCTTCATACACACCCAAATGGTTTTAGTGGAAAGTCAAAAGCCCCGTGGTTCGGCGAGTTGTCAAGATAGATATGTGCAATGTTTAACTGTTCCACTATGAATAATCCTGTTTTGTTTCAAGTACTGACAAAAAAGGATTGGCAATGGAACATATAAATATATCTTTTGATAGTAGATGATGGGTCCTTTGAACTTGTGGATTTACCTAGTCCACTGAAAGTATAATCGGCTCCTGCAAGAATGAGTTCATTTAATTTATATGATGATAAGGCGTACATATATAAGCTTACATATATATATATATATATACAGTACACTGTAGGTTTATGTTTGTCATTATATGTTTATATATATATGATTATGTACATATATATACACATATGTATCACGTCAGCACGGGTAAAGGATGAAGCAGTACATGACCCCTGTTTTTGCAAGTGGTAGGTCAGCAATCTTTTTCATTTACTCTCAGAGATGGCAACAATAATGTAAACATGTTGGTGTTGTTCCCGTTTACGGACAAGACTTCGGAGAAAAACATATTTGCTTACTGGCACAACCCCGTGCTCGTCACATAATAACTGGTCGGTGGTTTGGAACATTTTTTATTTTCAAAAAAAAGGGATGTCATCCTTCCCATTGACTTTCATATTTTTCAAGGTGGTTAAAATCACCAACCAGATCAGTTTGCTTCTTGAAGCTGATTTCGGATCGCCCGCCGTGGGGAGGGCCTGAGGTTCGACACCAACAACACGGAGAACAAACTGCTTCTCTGCAGTGTCTCGCTTGCAGTGCTCGAAAGAAAAGGTGACACCGTTCCAGGAATTTTGAAGTTAGAAAAGAAATTTCCCCCATGAAAACATGGCAGGAATCAGGACCAGAATGTTGAAGATCAATACGCACAAAGTTTGGTTGGATTGGCTGTGAACTGGTGTGCTATATTTTTTCCACACAACCCCATATTATCCCATCATTGTCCTATCATTTTCCCATCAGAGCATGGTGACGCCCACACGTTTGAGGTGAAGTGAATGAGTCGCAGAAACTGGTCATTGACTATGGATATTTCCGTGAAGCTGAGGCAGGGGAAAGATCATGAAAGATCTGGGTGTGGAAAGTATCTGGGGAATTTGACCTTTATGGCATTTGACCAGGGAAAATGCACGGAAATCTGGGAAAATGAAGTGATTCACGAGTGGATTTGGGGGTATCCTACTGGTAGTTTCACACAAACCCATTGCACTTGACCATTTGGCCGGTGGGCCGGTGATGCTTTCCATCACTTGGCCAGATGCAGTCGGTGAGCAGCATGCGCCCAATGAAACCCATGGTCTCAGAACCTTGGCTGAAGCCTATTTTTTCAGGGGGGTGAAACCAGAGGACCTCACTCAAATTGACTTGCTTTGATAGAGGATCCCAAGAACAGTTTGGAATGATAAGATTGCCTTCCACATAGGAACCAACTGGTGCAGGATTTCTTCCACCCACAGTATCAGCAGTATCACCAGCCATTTGGCCATCTGCCCAGAAAGCCAACCCACCAGCGACTTGGCCCAGGATGATGTGGTGCCGGCAGTGCCGCCCCCGCAATCCGCCGCTTGGCGGAAGATCCCGCCGGGAGAATCCGGGAGACACCCCCGTTAAGTACCCCCAATATGGGACCCCACCATGGATCCAAGACTAGAACGAGGGTTGCGCGTTCTGACTTCGATCCTGTTCAGAAGTCCAAAGATAACCAAAGCAATCGATTCCGACAATAGGCTGGGCCGATTTGTCCGCATGGAAAAAGCAGACAGAATCTTGATTTGGTGGCTGAGGGCTGCAGAAACGGACTTTCTTTCCACCTTTTGTTCCCCATTTGGCATTCAATCCCCTTTTGGTTGGCGGCGTTTCACCGTTTCACCCCTGAGGTGAGATTTGCAAGCCCCAGCCAGTCCTTTCAGTCCATGCCCCTGGGCCTTTGAAAACGATTGGTTGCCGATCTGTGTGGATCTGGGGGTGGTTCAATTGGCGGTGCTTGACAGATACTCTATTGATGGGGGCCAGGAAAACACATGTGTATTGGATGATTGTGCCTTGTTGTTTTTTTGTTTGGGTGGTTGAAGTGTCCTCTTCATAGAAGCAATGCAACATTTGACTCCTCTCCAGGGCACATTCACAGTTGTGCAGCGGAAAGACCGCAAATACCTACAAACGCAAAGGGCAAAGGCCTTGAAGGGTGGAATGAGATGATAGAGTGGCCTCTTGTTTTCCCCCACCCATTCCTGATCTGTTGCAGTAGTTGGCCGATGGAATGAGTCCCTTTTTGGACGTGCCCAATCATCCTTTGAAAGCTGGTCTCTTTGAATTTACATATTACTCGTTGGTGATTGGGGTCCCGAAGCCTAGGATGACCAGGTGTTTCTCCAATTGCGAAGCTCCCAAAACAGGGCTTCCCTACAAACGCAAGCTGTGGCAGTCTGTCAAAATGCGTCAAGACCCCCACAATTAGATAGGTGAACGCACATCTCACAAGAATCCACTCATAAATGTGGGGTATAACAGATTCAGAATGTTGAGTCCAGGACACGGACATCCCAAAAGCATCTTCCACAGGAGAATACGATATTTCTCAGAGATGTAATGGACACATACCTGGACCCTTAATTCACCCATAGCTACTGTAGCTCATTTTTGCGGAGACTCTGAGGGTCAATGTACGTGGAGAATGTAGATAGGCCATGGGCGTTTGATGCATCGCCTTGCGTTTGATCCATTTGTCTTGGTGCTAAGCCACGGTGTTTTTTTAAGATTGCTTATCTTGTGCAACACTTCAACTCTTATATATAGATACAGTAAAATCATGTAAAATACGGTTTGACAACAAGTCGTCTATTTTTCTACTCCATTTCCGTTGAAGAATCTTCTGTAAAATAATGTTTGTCGTGGCTAAATCCCAACTAATCCCTGCTTTCCTGGTTAAAGTATCTTCAAGTTCTTCTTGGTTCAGTCTTCACAAAAAATATCATATAAAATCACGTTTTCTTCGGCTGAAATGTCCCAAAAAACCCTCATCTCTGGAGCTGCTGTAAGGCCCCCTCCGTCGGGGCCCCCACCGTCTTCGTATCCACCGGGCCCCATGAGCAGCATGGCACCTTTTCCCGTCTCAGTGCCTTTGACCTGACTGAGCCAGGGGGGCTAGATGTATATAGATTATATTGTATATACTTGTGATTAACATGTAAGTGTACGGGTGCTTGTGTTAATGGTGTAATTATGAATGTATTATGCATGCATGTATATACATATATATATATATATATATGGGTATTATATATATATATGTATACATACGTGTGTGCGTTATGTATCTACCATGAGCAGTCAATGCATGTTGCAAGCTACCAGACAATATAAGATGTGTGAAGAAACATCCACAGGCATGGACCAAAGCAAAATGAGTCTGGGAGCTTGAGTTCCATGTTGATGGGTAGTGGGTGTAGCAAACCTCCATGATATGAGGGTGACTGATCAAGTTGAGATGATCCAGCTTGATTTAGCTAATTCAGGATCCCTGGTTCCGTATGGTTACTAAAGGTATCTATTAAAGAACCCCGCTTCCAGGCAATTCCTAAAATCAGGATTGCTTGGCTATAGCACCCCAAGCTGTCATTTACCTCTGTCATTTTACTAGCTACCAGAATGTCACCCCTTCTCCCTCCCCAGTGTGGATACAACATCATGGTGCGCTTGTGGACTTACTGACTGTAGCTACACTAGATCAATGGGAATTTCAGGATCCTAAAATGGAGGTACTGTACCATATAAGGCCATATTTCATGGGGATGTTCCCTTACATAGGCCTTATATATGGTAGGTACCTCCAATTTAGGATCCTGAAAATCCCATTGACTAGACGACCTGAGATGGTAGATGCTCAGCTTAAGGTGCCGCCTGGGCCGCCCCCATTCGCCTCCATGGGGCCTGGCAGCTTCGTTGGGACAGCTCCTGGGCCGCGGGGTGGCTGGGGATTGATGGGGATTTTCCTGGGATTTCACCACTGGGAAGAAATGAGGGGTTGCAAATTTCATCAGATAAACATTATGTGAGGATTTAATAGGATGAACATGGGGATTTGAACCTTTGGATTTGGGGATATCTTATGTTCAGACAAACCCGCAAGTGGGCGGTAAGCATAGTTAGCCCGCGCGACATGGCCGTTATAATTTCACTTTGGCATAGGAACTTTACCCTAAAGAGGCCTGGATGGTGGTTTCAGGTTTGCTTTCGACGCCTAGGAGGGCCGAGGATCTTGATTCCCATGTGACTCATATTTTTGCTGAAACTTTGAAACCATCAGAAAAAGGGCATCCATATTCTCAGTATCCAAAGTATTTGCTTAGGGGTTTGCTATCCTATGGCTGACATCATCTTTGAGATCCTTTGGACATTTTGGGGATGGTATTTTCAGGCCTAAGGCTTTGAAAGGGCAAAGCCTTACTTTGTCAGACGAAATCTATGATGGTACGGTGCATTTCTTGGGATGTTAAAAATGTGGTGCCAACCTTTCTGTTTCCACATCCAGCAGAATCCAAAAAATCATATCTCCACGAAATTCAATGGCTCTTTTTTTGGGCGCTTTCATGATGTCCATCCCAGTAGCTGAGGCACAGATGTACAAATCTTCCCCATGGAAGATCCTGACGCCACAGACCGAAGGCTAGGGTTGTTGGTGCTGTGAGCCCGCGGTGTGATGGGGCAAAGGGTGGGGGGGGAAGGCAATCAATTAGCAGTCAATGATGAGGTCGTGACTGTACCATTCGACGTTAGACTCTGTTCGGTCTATACACGTTTATTCATCCCCTCCTTGTTCTAGCTGTTCTTGGTTTTTACAACCTGACCTAGCTGTCAAGTGTGGCTGTCAAGTGTGCTCGATCACCATGTCTCTTGTTTTTATTATTTTTAAATAATTCTACTCTTAGTAAACCTTCGATGGGTACTTCCAAGTGTTTTTTGGTGGCTATATCTATGGGGATGTATGATTATGTTAACTTGAGCGCTAAGATATGCATCATCTGCGGATTTTCCCAGGATCAGAGGAGAGGAAAAGCCAGGTGGTCCTGGAGGTCTGTGTCAAGGACGCGATGGCACGGTGAAATCTGCTTGCTGGAAGGACTCACTAACCATCATGAGGATAATTTAATATGACTTCCGGGGGATATTTAAGCTATGGCATGGTGGAGTCTCAGAAGGTGTATCACTTTCCGCATTTTGTCGTAGAAAATCTTGCAAACCGAACCGTAAACTGGATTTCCCCTTCCATGCTTTCCCAAGAATGACAATAACAGGGCGCCCACTTCGTGACCAATAGAGTCGCAATGGTTTGGGGTTGGGGAAGTGGACATTCTCTGAATAACAGTTTAACAGTGGCATCACAGGTGAACAATGCTGCGATGCCGTGCTCATCCCGAAATTCAATCAGTGCATTGGCGGCTTATCAAAATTCCAAGCCTGCAGGAAGTGAAGTTCCTTCCAACTTTGATCCAGACGAAGATCGCCATAGCGCTCCTTGGTGCTTAGTCCCTGGCGGATCCTGGCGGCCTACAAGGGACTCCCAACTGAGGTTGGAGATGTCCTCAATCTGAAACCATACCATAATACCCATCAATGCCCCATCTAATCTATCCCGTTTCAGTATACCACGTGGCCTTGTGGGGGGGTCTTAAAGCCGTAGACCATAGCCCTTTAAAAATCTGTGTCTCTTGGTGAATTTGTTGTGTCGACCAACACTTTGGGCTCAGTTTGGCCCAAGGTACCACGCCAATGGAGAGGATGAGATCCCGTTGCCAGTACTTCAGAACCTCGACAACGGTGGAAGATGAGGTAAGGTGATCAGTGTTTCATAAAGCGCCAATGCTCTTGGCCAATGATATAATATAAAAATATATAAAATAATAATATATAACAACAATAATGATGATAATTATAGTAATATATATATATATATGCCGTGGTTGTTTTAGACTTGCTTCCATTTGCATGTCACATGTATGTGTTATATAGGCATCAACGTGTGGTTGTGTGTCTCCTACGTTTGCGAACCAGTGGATCACTTATGATCACTTCCTAGATCAAAAGGAATGGGCACAGCATGATTCAGATCAGAATCAATGTCTGTAAAGTTTGTAAAGATGATCCTTGTCGAATCCGTCTGGAATGGCCACGATGAAAATGAGATCGTCAAAGACAATCCCAACAAACCCCTTCAGAATTTCGACGGACAAAAATCTCCTGAAAGCCGAAAGTTGTTAGAACCAGGCTGCCTGATAAATGTTCCAACAGAAACCAACCGCCAAGGTTCCAGCTGGTGGGCGCTGTGGGCCCACCCGTGACCATCACACCGGAATCCTTCTCTCCACCTCTGCGACCAGGTCGTGTTGTGATTTCTGTTTTTTTTTCTGGCAAGAAATGGATTGAGTTGAGAGAAACTATGAGAAACTAGTGATTTTTACGTAACCACAATGATTCAACATGATTCAACCAACATGGACTGGAAATCAGAGAACAGATTATAGGAACCAATTCCTGTAGTACTGTAGTCTTGGTCTTGGCTCGTCCTGCCGAATTCTGAACACAAAAATGACTCTGAGTCCATTTTGGATAGTTCAGTACTTTACTCTTTTGCTATCTTGTGCTATCTATGAGGATGTATTAATTAGCTTAGCCAGCTCCGACATTCTTCGTTTTGCTTGGGAATGTGATTTTCATGGCCATCCTTCCAGGAGACGATCCACGAAGTAGAGAAATCGCTTGGACGGTGTTCCCCAATCGAGGTGGCGGGCGTCAAAAAGACGTCAGTTGATGTCATTTGAAAGTAGCCGAGTAGATCAACATGTCCCTTTAAAGTTGCATGATGTTGCATGTGTTTTTTCCACTTTTTCCATGGACCCCCTTTTGAAGTTCCCCCCATGGAATATTCCATGGCTGCCAGGAGAGCCATCGGGCTTTGGAGAGATCTCAGCAAGAAACCCGTCACTTGGCCCTATGACCAGATGAAAACGGGGCGATGACCATGGCAGGGTATGGCAGGGATGACTCGTGTATGAGGATTTGAGATGATTTGAGCAACTTCACGCAAGCATGATGTTATGCTAAAATCATCAAACTAACCTTGTTGGTGGTTGACTAACTCATGAAAGATGTTGATTCGACGGGCAACATTTGCTAGAATGGATAGAGATCAAAGTCTAAATGGGGATGAACTAGCCTTTGGGAACCCATCCCTTCGGCATCCTTCGGCATCCTTCGGCCACTGAAGCACCACAGATCCTCAGCAGAGATGCGCCGTGACCAGGATCGACTTCATTCAGCCTTTCACCTTGCGATGTTCCATGGCATCTTGGCGTTGACCTGCTGGTGCCGGCCAGGGTAGGTTTTTGCCACAGGGGTTTCGGGGCATGGCATGCCTGATCTTCAACTACAAAACATTTAAAAACCTATCCTTCCTGTCATGTTCAACAAGTCGCTTTGATACAATATGTTTTGATTAGACTATTCATATTCCTTGCCATGCTGTGCATTTTCAAAACCGATGAATATCGGGTGTTGATGCCACAAAGCAAGTAGTCAAGTAGTCAGTTCACTACAGCTTGGCCAGTGCTGCTGATGGGGGGTAAGGAAGTGGTGGTGCTGTTTTGTTTTAGCACCCACTCCCAAAGATACAGAGAGAGAGAGAGAAGGAGAGATCGGGATTAGTGAAATCCTACCAACCTAAAAAGAAAGAAGCCAGAAATAGTGAACTTTTGATCTAGGTCAAATTTGTTGCGACGCCCCAATATTGATTTGCTCCTTCGTGAATGATTTCTGCAAATATTAAAGATCTTTTCAGGCAACATTGCGACGCAATGATTCTCAAAGTTGTTTATCCGAGTCATGAGTTTGCTGTTTGTTTTCCGCCATTATATAAACTGATCTGCATTTTTGAGAATTTTATTTGTTTGGAACGTGTCTCCCTCCTGGCTTGTGAAATCCCATATCAAATACCCCCTTAAACCTCGGTTTGGTATTGGATCTTTATGGATCTATTGATTTTGGGGTCCCTTAAGTTGGCTGTAGTCAATCAATGTTGGCATACATCAACCATGTCGGTAAAGCAAGTCACGTTTGCCAATGCTTTCAGCCAATGTCCATTTTGCCCATCTCTCAGTCATATTTGCCACCAATATCCAGAAAAAAATCCGGTACTGGCCTGAAATCGTTGGTTATGCTGATTATCATGATTATTATATATAACCATTATTACCATTAATATCATTATCATCATTATTATCATTATTATCATTATTATCATTATTATCATTACTATCATTACTATCATTACATATCAGTATTATCATTATCATTACATATTATTAGTATTGTTATTCTATATTACTATATTACGATTTATAGTCACCGCAAAAATTACCATCATTGAATCATTATCATAATTACCACCACTATTATCATCATTATCTAGCTTCTAAGGCATTTTCCATGCCCAAAGACTCACCGCTGAGGTGGGAGATTCAGCACTGGCACCTTGGCAGCAGCCAGGCACGCTGGGGGTCTGGGATGTTTGCGGATACCCCATCTGAATTGAGTTGCCACATGGGCTCCGTGTGTCATGTTGGTACAAAGTGTTCACGAAGGGTGGGCGCACTGCATGCCCAACCAACCAGATGGCGACTGCTTGCTACCGCCAAAGCAAACCTGGTAGCTTTATGGAGCTTTAGCGCGAAGAGATAGAAAGAATGTTTTGGAGAAATGGGGAACCAACAACAGGTAGGGTTTCCATGACTTGATTGGGTGGTTTGGAATTGGCATTCTGAAGCGTTGAAATGGGATGGTCCCAAGCATATATGGGATAGGTTGACCGCACCAACCAAAAATTGCGCATCATGATACTGCATCCCAGGAGGTGTTGTTTCATGAGCATGGCTATTTGTAAGTTAATGGCAGGGTTACTGTCACCACATGTCAACCCATTGCCGATGGAGAAAGAGAGAGAGAGAGATAATCAATAAGCAAACGGACATGCTAGACAATCATGATAGATATCTGAAAATCTCTGAGACGATACAACATCAACGTCATCAAGGTTTATTTTCTAAGTGGAGCTGGTTTTTCTTCCAGTGTTCACATAGATATGGAAAAGTCGAAAGAAAACCAATTGTTTTCTGGTTAGTGGTTTCACGTTGTTATTTTCAACCATAGGCATTGGCTAGTTTTCTCTTCAATAACTTTCGATCATTTTGTTGTGATAAAACCACCTATCAGATTCATATTGCTGCTTATGTTGCCTACTATATGCCATATGATGGAGTTGCACTTCTCCTCCAGAAATTAAACATGGCAGTGGACTTTCAATGCCCATGGATCGTTCGGGGATTTCCCGGCCACCTTGGATTTCCCCAGGTCAAGGAATTGAGTTTCCACATCGCCGTTCCAGAGCGTTGCAGACAGGAGGATGTCTGGGACATGGTGATCCACAGGATTTGCTGGTCAATTTTCGGGAGTTGAACAAAACTGATTGGTGGTTTGGAACCATGGAATTTTATGACTTTCCATATGTTGGCAATAATCATCATCCCAACTGACGAACTCCATCATTTTTCAGAGGGGTAGGTATACCACCAACCAGAAAAGTATGGGGAGGTAAATCGGTAAATCCTTGTCACTTGGATCAGCCCATCATATCACTGGTGAAAAACATCAGCGATCGTACGGCATGGGCCCTCGTGGATTTGTGTGAAACTGTGATGTTTATTCATTCAGAGCAGAAAAACGTCATGAAATCCATTGAAATCTAGAGGATAGTGTTTGTTAGTCATTAAGAATGTTAAATCCTTAAATTCTCCATGACATCCAGGGAAATAACTCTTTGTTAGTGACATTTTTCCTGGAGATTGTTTCCCAATCACCAATCCATAGCCGCCAGGATTGGCTGCAGGTTCAGGCGTCGATCCCCGCGACCTGGAAACCATGGCAATGTCAACGGGGAATGATGACGAACCAATGATTACCCTCTGGTAATTTAACATAGCTATTGAAAATTGCCCTTTTTAATGGGAAAATCCACTATTTCTATGGTCATTTTCAATAGCTATGTTAAATTACCAGAGGGTAACCATGAAATTTTGGGCATCCTGTTTTAAGACAAATGACATGTTGGGTAATTATCCTATTTAGTGCAACACAAAGCCACACGATTTTTCAACTTGAATATGGGAAAATGTGGTAGGGTAACTTTTATTTCTGGGATAGTTCCATTTCTGGAAAAAACAAATGGAAAAACCATCAATGAATGTGACCATGAATGTGGTAAACTTGCGTGTTGCCACCCAGTAAGAGTGCCTGGATAGTGAAGCTTAGAACGGGGACATGGTTGTGATGAACAGCGTATGTAGCTGGAAACAGTTGAGGGATAGAAATATCGACAGTTGGAGGTTGGTCAATGGGAAATCCTTCCAGGTTAGATGACCAGAGGAATCTGACTGGCTTAGTTGGGAATATCATTAGCATTCATTAGCTATTTCTGAATAACCCACTGTCCCTGAGATATTTTGGGTATGTGTGCGCCAATGCCAATCCCATATCATTTTTTTGGGGGGCCATTCAAAATCGCCATATTAATCAACCAGCATTTGATTACCATAGTTGTTTGAAGGGGAAATTCATGGAAAATCTTATATTTGCTCGTAAGAACGGTGATGTTCTGCATGCTTTCCCTCAAACCAGTTCATTGAACAAGCATTTTATTAACCCCTACTTGACATTGCAGTGGCCCCCCAGACAAGTAATTTATGCACCACTTTTGAAGTTGGCACATGCCCTAGAGTAAATCAACATAGATGTTGGAACACATCATGTTGTTTCCAACATGTGATACCCTAGGGTAAACCACCACACCTATAAGAAGTGGCTGATTTTCCACATCTCAAGACCTGGGCTGGACTCAGGTGATGTCGGCATACCTCCCAGCGCTACGGGAGGAACTGAAAATGTCGCTTGGTAACGAAATATGTCATCCGAGTCATCCCACCCTCTGATTCTGTTCATTTCATGTAATATAGTAATTTAACTATAGCTTCTGGATGCTTCGTTTTCAATAGCTAAGTCATCTACCTCAATGGACCATTTTTATCCATTTCCCAAAGGATTCACCACACCTTGGCGGCCAGGTATCTCCACGAGGTGCCGCGGACGCTGTTCTTCAGCACGTTGCCTTCCTTCGCCATGTCGCTCAGTCAGCTCCGCACCGTGTTACTCGCGGTGACTTGGCCGAGAGTCCGAGAGTTGTGGGGTGCAAGAGGATCTACAGTAGCAATCATGGGAATCGTCATAGAATGTCATAGAAATCAAAACAATTCTGGTTAATAGATGTTTATAGACGATGCTATAGGAGTAATAATGAGAATATAATGTATACATATATATATTAATATATATATTAATATTTATATTAATATATATATATATATAAATATATATATATGTATATATATGTATATATATATACATATATATATATACATATATATATATTATTATTAGATAGAGTGCGAAGATTCTGCCAGGGTGCTGCGAAAAGGGGCTTAGGCTATGGGGCCGGGCCATCGAGGAGCCCAGACTCAGGACATCGATTCGGGCACAACGATGCAAAGTCGTTTGTTTTTCGGCCAGACTTGGTGGGCGTGGCCGGAAAGGAGGTACCACATCGGTAGCTTGCTCTTAGGAGTGAGAGTTTCTGGCGAAAATCATTCTGGCGAAAATCAAGTCTCTGCTCTTTTTTGTGCCTAAACGACCCCTGTTTTGAATACTTGATCTACCTTGATCTTCCGTCAAGTAAGAGCACCGGCAAACTGAACTTATCTCCCGTGGGTCCCTGTCCAAACCAAAGGTTGGCAGCATTTGCGTCTGGAGTCTTCGCATTAGCGTCCTTGAGCTTCAACTTTTTGATGGCACAAAGAGGCCGCGATTTGGAGTCTCGGTATGCGATTGTGAATTTCACTGGTGGTGGGTTGGTCATGGGTATGTCGTGAAGATTCCATTTTACATGGGGATGGCTCAAACCATTTCACAACCAGTTATACCATATTTTCCGGAGGGGGATGAACATTCATTTCCCACCCATAGCCATGTTTAATAGTTGTATACGTAGTGGCAAGCACGTCAGACTGGGCCTTGCATGATCTTGCGGATACGACTGTGCAATTGTGAGGTTTCAAAGTTTACTTTGCGTGTTTCACTCGTTCCCAGGATTTGTTTGTTTGACAGCCTCTGTGTCCATCCATCATCCACCAGTCATCCAACCAGCATTCCAGCATATTCCAGCCATCCTTTCATTCTTACGGAATGGTCTTTAGTGTTTTCTCCGATGCCACTATTTTAACACGAAAGTTTTGGGGACTGATTCTTTCTCGCGTTTCTTGCAAATTGAGAACGGCTTGAAACCAGCCAGGAAACACAGAAAAGGTATTCAAGACATTTTTAAATTGACGTTAGTTCAGGATGCCAAGGCGTGTTGCCTTATACCCGGACGCGTTTTCCCAGCCATTTTGCGGCAAGGAGCTGTTTGCTTCAAATTGGCCTCTTGCCAAGCGACTGGCTACATATCTTTTGGCGGCGCCATCAACTCATGGGGATATCACATGAACAAATGAAAACATGTAGATGGAAACAACCATGGAGAATCATGGACATATTGCCTTTTGCGGTTATTAGGATGATAATGATATAAATATAGTTCTTTACATGATGCGGATGGAACCATCTAAACCTGTGTCACACATAATATATGCTTCATCCCTGAGCCTGGGATGATTTTAGTTGACTTTTGGGTAGCGCAGACATATCTGACCTTCGAGGTTATCCAAGCCACTAGAGATGATCGTGCCATTGAAGTCATGTTGGGCATGGGCAATGTTCGACAATATTGGGGCAGGACATTACCCAACATGCGCCGAAGTATTATTCAAGTCGGGCGGTGTGGGACAAGTTCTGCGATTACCCAGAGATGAACTGGGTATTGAAAATACCCTCTGGTAAACTAACATAGCTATTGAAAATGGCAATTTATAGTGGATTGACCCATTAAAGATGGTGATTTTCCATAGTTATGTTAGTTTACCAGAGGGTAGGTCCAGTGAACAAATCCATTTTTGACGCGCCAGATTTGACCGCGATACCCATATTGGAATGGTTTCTTAAAAAACGCCATTCCAATGACCAGATGCGGGGTGTCACCACCTTGGACTGTCCATTTTTCGCTCAGGACACAACATCTTCAGAACTTCACAGCGTTTCAGATCTGAGCGTCCCCGAAGAGGATGGAAAGTTTGCAGAGCCGGACAGTAGCCCCTGGATTTTCTGGGAAAGAAGAATCTGTCCTTCAATGTTTCCCTACTTGAGAGAAAGTGATTTCCTATTTGTCGGGAAATGTCGGAAATACCCTAATACATTCCTACCCATCTGACAGTGTTTATGAAGGACATTGAAGGACCATCAAAACATCAACAAACCTTTCACAGTAGACGCCATGATTCTGGATCGGGAGGTAGCTTTTCGCCCTTCATTTCGGAAGCGAGTCTAAAATTGCAATAAATTTCCAGATAGTTCATATTGTATCATGTCATAAATTGCCAAGATCTATGCTATTAACAGCTCTTCAAGATGACTTGGATACTGCTCATCGGCACTGAAGTTTCACTCTGCTCCCACTTTCTGTAGGCTCCTGAAATGTTGGAGCCTTCAGTCACATTTAGAGTCGATCGTTTGAAGGTGAAAAGATGTGAAAAGTGTGAGGCTTGCCCAAAACTTTGCAGGCAGTCCTGCAAAGATAGGTATTTTCCATCAAACCTGATACCATAAAATCTGGGCGCTTTGAAGATCCTCAGTTTTTTCTATTGCCTTCGCTTCAACATGTTCAACCAGCAAGAAACTGTTTTGACGCGCCTTGATCAGCGAAACTCAAACTCACGTGTGCTCGCAAAATAACCCACAGATATATAGCACCTTAAATCATCCAAGATCAATGTATTCTTTGTTATTAGTCGGTTGTACTCTTTCCGCTTCAAGTTGGAAAATTTCTGTCAGCAACGGAGGGTAAATCTAGGGCTGCGACTGTTTCACTGCCAGGGCTGGACGACTGATATGGATCAGCTCATGACATTTGTGGAGCACCTACTGTCCACCACAGCGACTTCGGCATCAATCCAGTTTGGTCTGAAAACTTGGGTACCAGATGGCAACCCCAAAATCCCATTGGTTTATGGTTATTCCATGTTATTCCCCCTATTCGAATGACCTTGTTGTTGGGGTATACATCATTTTAAGACAACCACTTGTGCTTGTTTGATATTGATTTCTTGGGACCAGTATACAGCAAGGGTGCCCAAGACCGCCATGATTGAAAACACTTCTTTGAAGCGAAGCGACCTTTTGAATAGAGTACGCGTAGACAATTTTTCCACGGCGCAAGTGAGATCCGTTTCAATTGCCGTAATATATATATATATACTATATATATATATATATGTGTGTGTGTGTTTTTTGGCATGTATAATGGCTGATGTTCATGTGTGATTTCCAATTTAGATTGGTGCTGATTAGTGACACCGGTTGTAGAAAAGAAGCATCTCGGGCATGTGCTTGCACCGAAGCTGATCATGGCTGACAGTTGTGTCTTGGATGGTCAGAAGAAGACTCAGAAGACTGTGACCATGGTCCATATTCAACTAGATGTGTGTAGTTCGCACCGCACGTGCGAGCCAGTTCCCTTTCCATCAGCAAGCAATTCATCTACGAAGCTGTGACATAGGTTGGCCTAAAAATAGAACACCCGCAAAATTTGATGGTTTAGTATCCTGTTCCCCAGTATTCCATGGCCGTAAACTGGAGCTTCATATCCATTTCTAAGTACCGCATCCAAATATATCATATATCCTATCAAGTTGGCTCTACTATGCTCTACTACATACTACATATCTTATACCATCTTAGTATCCCTATCATTACCGGCGGTTATCCCAGTTATCCCATTACATTTTATTATCCCTATCATCCTGTTATCCCACAGTATCATAAGAATTTATAAGATATAATACTAATGTGGGATGACATAATTCTAATTATATAGCATAATGGGATAATATTACAAGCATATTGGGATATTATTATCATAAGAATTCATAAAAGTATCATCATTATAATTATCCCATTTGTTCTGATGATGCCTTAACCCTCGAGGACGCTGATTTCACTGCGAAGGAGTGGCGCTTCTCCGATTGGCGCAAACAGGCTTTCATCCATGCTCCATGCTATGGAATATGTACCTACAAAAATGGGCCTTTTTGGGAGTAGCTTTGAAGAATCACCATTTTTTCATTGGTAAACATCAACTATTTCTATGGTCATTTTCAATAGCTACACTTCAATTACCAGACGGAAAATCTGGGGAGATATTCCTGTTTACATGGGGCATTGCGGAGTCATTGATATTTGTCTGTTGGCCGCAGTTGGTGAGTGTTAATGTGTTTTTCGCGTGCAAACTGGAGCCAACAAGATAAACAGAGTGCGTTTTATTCTAGGTATCTAAGAGTGGCTTTTTCCATACATCCATCTAGACTATCTAGACAGGGGACATAGCGTGCTCTTACCACAACAAGCAGCCAATATGCAGCTGTTAAGCAACGCCCGGGTCAGGCAAGATCCACCATCAGCAAGTCCCAGTAAGTGGGCAATCACATGCAATAACCATGCAATACCCAGTTATATATAATGTGGAAAATCCCCTGGCATCTATAGAATATCACTTATCATATGAATTGCATTCTAAACCACTTACAATGCCTGGGATGTACATCCAAGTTATCCTTGTTTGACATTGCTGGACATGTTGCACCTCAGGTGGAAGCCTCACAAGCGTCACTCTGAGAGGAGAAAAGAAGCGGCTCTTGATGGGTTGCAAAATCCAAGACCTAAGGAGCTGCTTATCAGTACAGAAATGTTGGGTTTTCTCCAACCGTGTAACGACTTGTGGTTTGTAGCTGGTTGTTGATCTCATCAATCTTCCTGGGGTGGTTTTCTAATAGTTTTCTAATGATAGCCTCAACTTAAGAGACAACGGAGATGACCTCAGCACTGATGGCGGTGATGGCGGGGGAACCCGCGTGAACTGTTTCGCTGCTTCGCTCAGGTCGGGTCAACAATGGTGGCACTCCTTCATCGAACGTGGTTGAGGGCGAGGTGCAGGTTGAGGGAGTGAAGCTGGATGGGATTAAAGAAGACGAATGAAAAATCCGTAAATTGGATGGTTGATATAGGAATGGTTGATATATGTTGATCTTGTTTGGGAGGCATCCCCACCCATGGCGAGATTTGGTATGTCTCATGCGATACATGATGTCACTTGTGAGTTCAGCTTTTGGAGATGCTTCTAGCACCAGTTTCAAGTTAGAGCCTTGCGTTGTTTGGAAGCAGCCCAAGTATCCCAAGTGAAGCCAGTAGAACTGGGTGACTGCCGTTGCACTTCACCAGCCCCCTTTTCCTTAGCGGATTGATCACATGGCGATAAACACATCAATGCTAGCATGCCCATTCTTCAATTTGCTGTTTAAATCTATTGCTGTTTCTGAACACATACATTTTATAATATACTGTATATACGTATATATATATATGTTATATTCAGAGATGGAGTGAGAGAGACTGAGGGGGAGAGAGATGATATGTCAACTGCACAGGCAATGCATTTCGGGGGAATCATGCGACATTTGGTACAGACTTTGGATGCGCATAAAATACCTTAGTTATCCGGAATCCAGGCTGCTGAAAATTCGCTAATATATACATATATATATATATATACAGTATATATGCATACAATATACTGTATGTATGTGCATATGTGTGTGTGTGTTAAAGATTTATATGCATACAATAATGATGGATAGTTACTAATAGAATATAATATGTATATATATTATTATATTATTATTATTAATATTATTATTATTATTATATATATATATACGTGTGTGTGTGTGTGCACCTCGGAGATTCTGGTGATGGAGAGATACACCTCCATTTTGCTCACCTTGTCCCATGGAGGCTTCGCCATGGCAGAGACCGTGGCTGTAGGATTCGGGCTCCGCCGAGGGCAGTTCCCAATGAAAAAAAAAATGTAAATATGGGAAAATGATGATAAACATTGATTAACCATCTGGATTCTGTTGTTTTTCATTGTTTTTCTCTTATTTTTTGGTCAATTGATGTTAGTTCAGAGGTTTCCATTTTCAGACAAATCCATCCGTGAAAAAGTGAAAAAGAGATGCCTCCTCATTGTTGTTGGTTAATGTTGGTGATTTCATTCTTCGCTTTCCACCCGAGACTTGTGATGATTCAACTTGACCCTCAAAATAGCTATCACCTGCTGTGCGTTAGCCGAGAGTGGATCCCTGTTCGCAATTTGGTCATGGTCTCTGGCGGCAAATCCGTTTGCCATATGTGTTTGTGGTACGTATGTTTGGCATTACATGTCATGAAAATGTGAGGATAGACCTTCTTAGTCATGCACTTCCAACATGTCCCAAGAGAAATCCATTGTCGTAACATGTCGCAACCCAACATGACAATATCTCTTTTAGCTCTTTAGGTATAGTTTTGGACAATGCATGTCCTTTTCTTCCGCAATTCATTGGAATTGCGCAAGTCGCAACTTTGAGTTCCATGGTGCATGATGGTCCCAATGGTGCTGTGATCTCAACACATAGCAGGCCGAGACCCTGACTGAAAATGTGCAGTGTCACAAGAAGTTGCAGTGATCAAACCGGAGATGGCTCAGTCCTTGAAGAGCTCGAGTTACTGGAGCTTGAAACTGGTGTCCCCAAAATCGGTGATCCCAAAGCCGAGAGTTTGTAAATATTATATGATATAATGTGGGATGGACAATAGTAAAGCGCGTGCAATAGCTACAAATAATTTTCAGAATCTGATTTTTCAGCACCTATTGATTTTAGATTACAAACATCAACCTTGGTCCAGAGCATCTGCAATAAATGTGGTTCATTCGCAATAGCTACAAATAATTTTCAGAAAATTCCCTAATTATCAGATTTCCCAATACTAAATTGTAAAGGGGCTAATCGAGATTTAGCATGCGTGCAGGAAAAAAGCTCAGAACCAGTTACAGTGAAGCTGTATTTTTTCCCTTCTTCCTTAGTGTTTTTAATTGAGGTTAAATGGTTTTAAATTGTTATTGCATGCTTTTCAAAAGCAAAAAACAAAGCAAACCTTTACCAAATCAAACATTTTACCTTGTTCAAAAGAGCTGTTTTCTTTATTAAAATCCTTTTAAAAAATTGCAAAAAACAGGTCCACAAAGGGTACCCCCTTGCAGGCCCTTGCATCTGCAATTAAACATTTGCAGGCCCTTGCATTTTCGATTTATTATTGCAAACCCCCCCAAAAAAATAGGGGGTGGGCCTTTGCTATTGTCGATGTAACATTAATCATCACAAGAGGTGGTTTTACCATGGAAATAGAGATTTCTTCACTACTGGTACAATAGAGGAAAAAGAATCCACCGGTGCATTGCATGTCAGCCCTGAAACCGTGCCGCACGTGTCATCTCCGCGATTTGGTCACGACACCTTGCGGGCGTCGAGAGTGGCAGACGCCGTCTCGTTTCTGGAAAAAAAATATGAACAAGAACAATTATAATTATATTATATGATATTGATTTATTTCTTATATCCCTGGAAGTCCAGGGACTCAAAAAGAACGTCCTCATGAAAATCCGTAGAAAGTGGATCAAAAAGGAACATCCATGTAAAATGCTCATGATGTACCTTTTGAGGTCCCGGACCTCAAAAGGAACGTTGCTATAAACTATAAACATCCTGTTGATGTACGTTTTGAGGTCCCAGACTTCAAAAGGAACATTGCTATAAAAATCCTGTTGATGTACCTTTTGAGGTCCCAGACCTCAAAAGAAACGTGACTATAACATGCTATATAATATGCTATAATTGTGTTCAAAATGAGGACAAATCTAGAATCGTGAGAAATCGTGAGAAATCGTGCGTAGGCCCTTTAAAAGGACCAAAAAGGAACGGTTAAGGCCCTAAAAGGTACAATATAGCGATCTAAAATCGTGAGAAATCGTGAGTGCATGTATCACATTTTAATTTTTAATACATGGGGGTCATGGAAGCCAAACATCCGTTGCTATAAACCCTCGGCCGTAGAAATAATGACATTGCTACAAACCCTCGGCCGTAGAATCCAACAACATTGCTGTAAACCCTCGGCCGTAGAACCTCGGCATTGCTATGGTTTTTCGACGATGATCCCTTTTTATGGTATTTTACCTAAGGACTTAAGAAGTATGGCCTTGGGACTTTTAGGGTATATTATTTTCTAAATATTATTATTAATAATATCATTATAAATTATTATTAAGGAAAATATATATATATATAATAATAAAAATATTATGATAAATAAAAAAATACATTATTTTAGATTTTAGGGAAGGTAAATTTAGCGGTGTTGGTTTGAATTTTATTTTTCGAAATAAAGGGGAGGAACCCTAATTTAATTATTTGATTATTTAGGATATTATTATGTATTTTAAATATTCTCCTTAATTTATTAATCCTTAAAAATCTCTAAATATAAATACAAAAAAATAAATTATAAGAATATTATTGTTTTTTATATGGAAAGAAAATAATATATATATATAATATTTATAAGATTTATAATATTTATAATAATTATAATATTTATAATATTATAATATATTAAAAAATATTATATTTTTATTTGTTATTAATTAAATTATATTATAAAATATTTTAAATATTATTATTGGAAAAATATATATATATATAAAATAAATATATATATATATTTGATATATCTTAATAATAATAAATTTTAAAAATTTAATATATAAATTTATTTATTAATAATAATATAATTTTAATTTTAATTTACACATATTGAAATTATAATATATTTATTAATTTGAATTTATTTATTATATATATTTAATATATTTTAAATAATATATTATATATTGGGATTTTATATAATTTATAATTAAAATAATAATAAATATATATATATTTATTTAATTATATTATTTATAATAATATTATTTTGTATTGACATATTATATTATTAATATTATAATTAAATTTTAAATAAAAATTTTCGAGTTTAAATTTCCTAAAAATTTACGGAAATTGAAATTTTATTTTTGGAAATATTAATTTTATATTTCCTAAATATTTTTTTTTTTCTAAAGAGTGTATTTAGGTAAATACAATATGGTCGATCGTTTCGATTCCTTTGAATTTATTTAATTTCTGTGATATTATTTTTGTATTTTTGCTAATATGTTCCTCTACGAAATTGTCCCCTTGCTGCGCCCGTTTCTAGTAGACACTGCACTTGCTTCCTTAGCCTGTATACGCTATTTTGGGAAATTTCTTTGAGAGGCGGCTTTCGATAACAATTTTTCAGAACAATTTTGAAACATAACTCTGGGCGGGGAATAATTTTGGCATTTTACAATAGCATTGACGAATAATTGCTTTGAAGAACAACAGCTTTGGGGAGTAGCTTCAGGAAACAAGTTTGGGAAACAAATTTACCTTGGTGGAGCAGCTTTGGGGAGCAATTTTGGGAAGGAGGAGGAGCTTTGCGCGGTAATTTCGACCAGAAGCTTTGAAAAACCGTAGCTTTGCGGACTAGCTTTAGAACGAAAATTTGGTGGGTATCTTTCGGTAGCAAGTTTGCGGAGCAGCTTTGGGGAGCCGCTTTGGAGAATAATTTTGGGAATCTACCTTGGGAAATGGGTTTGAATCATAACAATTTTGGTGTAACCGCTTTGCGGCGGTACTTTGGGGAACAATTTTGGGAAATAATTGCGGGCAACCACTTTGGGAAATAATTTTGTGGAATAAATTCGGAAATTTTTTTTGGGAAACAGGAATAATTTTGAGGAAAAATTTTGCATAATAATTTTAAACATCAAATTTGAAGAACCATAATTTTGGGAATTTTGGGGGCCGATTTGGAAAATAATTTTGGGAAATCGATTTGGGAAATAAATTTTAAATATAATAATATTGAGATACTCGTTTTATAAGGATATTTTGAAAATTTTAGGAATAGCATTGGGGTGTAATTTTCATGGGAAGCAACCTTCGAAAATAATTTTGATAAA